TACAGATAGTATTTAATGTGTAGAAGAACCGTTCTCCTTCTTAATCTAATTGAAGATTTATGCCTTTTTGGTTGATAAGGAACGTGATTACAACAATCGAAAAAAAAAAAAGAGAGAGAGATTACAATGTGTCTTTTATAAACATGCTCTACGGTCTCTCGAGTGTCTTTATGATCTCGAAAAAAACCCAAACATGATCATAAAACCTTCTTATCTGAAGTGGACTTTGATATGGAGTCGGAAAAGAAATTACTCTTCGAAAAATGAATACTCCTTGAAGGATTACCGAGTGTTGTAACCAAATGATTGTTACACGTGAAGATTTTTACCCTGCAATTTTGCACCTCTCTCCTCCGACACCGATAATGAATTGAAACGATGTACTACTACTTTTGACGAGATTCTAACGTCATTAGTTTCTTGTTCCACCGCCCAAGAGAAGACCCAATTGGTAAAGTGAAAAGCAAACTGCATTTTCTCAAAGAATGATAGTCTTCTGTAGTACCACACCGATTGGAGATTTTTCTATAAAAAAAAAAAAAAATGCTAGAATCGAAATTGAATTTTTACTTCCTTCGTCCGAAAAAAAAAAAAAATAATCCTGGATGAAAATCGATTCCATCACTTTCCTCTCTATTACTGATATCTTTACTCGATTTCTATACTGCAATCTTTTACATTTTTCCCCCCTTTTTCCTCTCCTTCGCTTTGGTTTTTCTGTTAGAAAATTAAGTCCAAGAGATAACAAAAATCGACTCTGTTACTACTAATTAATAATCGTAGTTTTTGTACACATGAATTGCTTTAATGCATTTAATGCTAAGAATACTTCGTGGAATAAAAAAAAAAAAAAATTTCCTAAATTATGTAGACATTAATGTAGATGAGGTAACGATAGGAAATTTTTTTTCGGCTATTTTTTTAATAAAAAATTAACCAAAGATAAGATTCCTTTTACCAAAATTAAGCAAAGAGCACGGTTTTTAATTGATTTTAACTAATTGGGAGTTTTCACCGGAACTGCTGCACTTTACGATTTTTCATTATCTGTTTGCGTGCATTTTTTTTAATGTTAGTAAGAGGAATTAACCGTATTACGATTCCTTATCAGGAGGCAACAATTAGTTCCCTAATTCCCCGTTTGTTCTGCAACGGATAGAAGAAAATCGAGATAAGAAACACGGAAGGGTGCAGTGCCCCAGGGAGGGAGTTAGAAAATGATAAACAAGTAGGACAATCCTTGGTATAAAGAAAGACGTAAAGAGTATCGTTCAAATCTAATACTTCATCGCCAAAGGAAAGAAATGAAGTAGAACGGCATTTGGTTTGTCCTATATCCTCCACATCCGAGAAGAGACGTTTGTCAGGAATTCCAGAGCCGTTGTAGTCTTTACATCATCAATCACAGACAAGTTTTCATTACAAGTGAGCACGACATCACGGAACTGATCGCCATCTAACAATAACGGAAAGAAAGAAGAAAAACAGAGCGAGAAAAAAAAAGACAGCATCAGTCAAATCACAGATTCGAAAGTTGTAGCGTGTTTGGCAACGATTTTTTCGCCCGCAATTTTGTATATCCAATAATCATTTTTTAACACGAAATCCTTTTTATTTATTTAAAAAAAAAGCACACGTCTGTGGCTTGTAATTGGAATTATCGTGGCGTAAATATGTCGAAAAGTATCGTGGTAGACGAATAAAAATATGCATCGTTGAAAATCGAATAGATAAGTCTTGTCAAAGTCAGACGAAGAATCATCTTTTCCTATCCCCCGATCGTAACTAGAAAACGGCTTTAATGCAATAGGAGAAACCGTAACGGGAGATATGACGTTCTGGAGTTCGAAACTTTGAGAGAAATGAAACTAAAAACTCTACGGCCCGATTGGTACAACATAATCCTCATCCCGTCACGCGTGACAGCTTTCCCCATACGTCACGGAAGCGTGCACGCGTTCCGGGAAATTTACGTTCGAGAAAGTGTTTCTTCCTCGTATACCTATTTGATTTATTCGGTTTCGTCGTCGACTCGAACACGCTCGTTACAAAATTGTGCAGCAGATAAGAAGACACTGCTGGTATAAATACAACTTCTGTTATTACAACTATCCGAAATATTCCCTAGCTGTTGTTGTTCCCACTAGAAAATCTGCAAATCTGCAAAATGGAGATAACAATAATATCCAAACTCGCACTCTTTTTTTTTTCCTTTCTCCTTCTTTTCCTTGGCTTAGAAGAGATATTAAGAATGTATCACCTTGGTTTTTGGATTAGCTACAACGTGCCGAGGAGCGATAGGATGTGTCAATACTGAAGAATGTATTTACAGAAGAAAATCCGTCAAGTAATGAACACGAAAGGCTGCTTATTTATATTCGCACGTAACTAAACGAATCTATGATGTATGTCTATAGATCTGTATCGATTCTAAAACGATGGGTAATCTCATTATAATTCTATCGATTAAACCAGTCGGTTATTCGTAATATATTATGGAACATACCATACACCGATAATCATATAGAAGGTCTATATTCGGCAACTTAATTAAAATTTAAATTTAAATTAACCGGTATGTATTATGCCAAGGAGTGAGGTATTATGCTTATTAAATCGAGAATATCTAAATTAATTTCCACTACTACTGTGTAAAAAAAGAAAACTATCATATTATTATTATTATTTTTTGTGATTAAACAATGTATCGAACAGATTCAGAGCAAAGAAAGAAAGAAAAAAAAAAACTTTTCCTCCATCGATCCACAATGGACTCCTCATTGTCAGGCAATATTTTACTTATCAGTTTGTAGGTTATTTCCTGACACATGCAATATTGATCATCGAAGTAGATAGGAATGCTTATATTCCGACATTTATATGCAAAGATCACATTATTTTTTTTTTCGTTTGAAAGAAATATTCTTCTTCTTTTTTTTTCGAGGTACTGTACATTAGAAAAAAAACACATCAGTAAAAAGCAATTAGTGGAGATGTAGTTTCAAAAGGAGGAAAATGATTGAAAATGGTGAACGCAGATAGCTCGACATTTGTATTTTGCAAGAGGTATAAAGAGAAGAAGACGTTAAGAAAATTATTGTCGATTCGTGTAGTTTCTTTATTAAGATTCGAACAGATATAAAAAAGCATCTGGAATGAACTATAAATATCGTTATAGATATTTTAGAGATAAATAACTGAATCAAACGGAATCATTCGGAAGTCTAGAGAAGTTTTCCCTTTTATTTTCCGAAGAGAACTTTCTAAATCCTCTATGAATATTTGGTGTAACTAAAAGAGAGAAAAAGTCACAAAAGTTTGACACGAAATAGCAATCCATTGTGACGTCAGGCATTTCTATATCCTTCTTCAATTTTAGTTTCAACCCCGGGCCTCTTATGCACGTGACCGGTGTGCAGAAAAAGCAAGAATAATCTAAACGTGCATCTATACAGTTTCCTTTTTTTTTTTCCTCTATCCCTTACGGTTCTTCAAATTTTCCTGTATCTCCGCGTGAATTCGACCTTGTCGACCTAGAGAAACAGAGCGAAAGAGAGAGAGAGAGGGAAAAGGAACCCCATCTTAGTCCTCCGGAAGTCGTATGAGGTGCCTGGAGGGTCTTTACTCGTGACATATTTGAACTGCCTGTTTACAGGAGGTTGCGGTTCTTCGAGATGCGTCGAGCTCGGGGTAATCAAGACTCTACGGCTTTATTAAGAGGATGGGAGACGAACGTGGGGCCTCTAGAAATCGACATTATCCAGACATTGGAAACCAGTCATTTATCCACGAAATGCTCGAGTTTTCTAGATAATAACAACTAGATTTGTTTGAGACGGCAAAAAAAAAAAAAAGAGACGGATCCTATCCAAATTTATACAAAANGAATCAATATCGTATTTCCTATCTGATTGCTACAAATACGATATGGTGGATATAACGATCTAACCTAAATTCTTTACAATAAAAGAAATACTTAAAACATGGTTGAAATGTTTGTTTTTACCATTTAATATTGTGTGAAGGTACAGCAGATGCATGCTTCCAATTATGCAAGTTTTATTAACAAACTTGTGCTGGTAGGAAGGATGGTACAAAACATGTATGAATTAATTATTATAAATAAAATGTATGTCATTAAGCAAACAATTGGTTGCAATTAGTTATTTTGTGTATTCAAAAAATACAAAAAATTCAAACTAGTTCAATACTGGATTGTTGTTACACAACAACAGTCCTACGTCAAGTGTTATGTTTGGACAAGTTACTTTAGATAAATGATCAGGGTATTTATTGAATCAAATTATCTGGTTAAATATTTTAATATTTAACTCATTTTATAATATTTATGTTGTTCATCATTTTTCTTTGAATAAAGACAAAATTAAATATATAAACTCTGTTTTAGATATCATTCCACTTTCATTTAGTTTTTGGATTATTAAAGCATCTGTGTAATGTTTTTTATTTTGTAGAACATAAATTTAAAAAAAATCACTTTTCCTTTTATTAATTAAATAATTGCGTTATTTAAAATGGATATTTTTTCAGTTGTTATAGGTTTTGTGTATATACTGTAGCTTGTATCGTGGAAAGGTTGCATCTGTTACACATTCAACTTACATCATGCAGAACATTTCAAAATATAACTTCTGCATAATCAATAAGATATGATTTGGCATTGAAATTAGGATTGTATCATTATTTATAACCCTATAAGAATGCCTGGCATTTTGCAAGAGTACAAAGTTTTTGTGTGAGAATTATGCCTCGTGTTGGTTTGAAACATATGTAAAGCGATTATCAAGGCTAAATTGCAAGATTTTCATTGAGTCTTGGCTTTTATAACAAAATTGTGTGTCAGTAATTATAAAACAGTTTACGTGGCTTCAAAAAATTGAATCAATCATTTAAAAGTCTGTCATTGCTTTTGTCAAAAGATTGATATTAGTTTATTGATTTCTTATTCTAATTTATTAAATATTGATTGATGTAGAATGCGTTAATGTGTATCTTTCATTTGCTTTTTTAGTATGGAATATGGAAATCCAAATCAGGTCAGTGATATCTCATCAACCAGTGGTGTCTTGGGTGATAATGGAAACAGTGCAGTGAACTATGTTGTAGACCACAATCAGTGTAATAGTATTGTTCCATATGCCGTATCGTCATCTAACAGTATTTCGTATGGTCAACGAAATGTTGCTAAGAGTACCGCTCCTTCATCCACTCAGGTTATTCCCTCACAGAACTTCATTCGTGCTTCGACGATCAAGCTGCTCGATACCTATCAGGTAGGGAATTGTTTAATATTGCGGAGAGATTTTTATTATTAGCGTAATAACTAGAAGTCGAGAGCATGGCCGTAAAACTCTGCGTTTCTAAAATTAACTCTGTGTCCTATTTTCTTCATAAAAAAAAAAAAAAAACAAAAAGAGGTCTGGATGTCGAAACATTTACGAACTTTGATGTTGGAGGTGTTAATTGCCACTTTCACCTCTTTAATTTTTTTTGTTGTGTGGCATAGAATTTTATTAAAAGTAGTATAGAATACATATGTATTAATATATATATAGCTTATAAGATTGATGTTTAATGTAATTTTATTTTGGTTAAGTAATTTTATTTACAAAAATAATTTTCTTTTCATATTAGTAAGAAGAAAATATTTTATCTATAAACTTCATTCTGTTTGTTAATTTCATTAATTCAATGTAATCGTATGCAAAATGCTAATCACAAATGATGAGTTTGGTCCTCATCGGCCAAAATGCAAGCTGAGCTTCGGTTTTGTTCATGCTACTTAATGCCATTGTTGGGAAATTATGGAGACGGTTTCTTAAAAGATATGCAAGTTACTGGGTTGTTAAACTTATCATTTGTCATTTTAGTAAAGGATCTCAAAATTCCAGAGTGGATTTAGTAGAATTGGATAGTTTGTAACTTGATACATACAAAAATAGCCTTATCTATACTTAATGGCTCAGGTCAGTTTTTTAAATTTAGTGTAGTTACAAGTGACAAACTTTTTTTCTAATTGAAAATTAAATTTAATATTAGTTTACTGCATAGTTTTACTTTATATCTTAAATACATGTTGAGAAATTGCTAGGTTTGTACTACTTTAAATGTGTATTTTGTAACTAAACAGCAAAATCATTTTGATGGAATAGTGAAATTACATAGAGTTGGATCATAATCACACTTCTCTTAACTGCAGTTTCAGTTGATGTTAAAATTTATTTTAGATTTTTGATCTTAGACCATAACTCTTTAGATTTAAGATTTTTAATAATCAATAATTATGAGGCTTGGACCTGTGATTGCTAGTTTAACTGTGATTTTGGCTCAATTTTCTGTTGGGTTCATTTGGAATTTAACTTTATAATTAGACAATCTTATGGAATGAAATAACAGCCAAATAACCAATTACAAAATAATTTACAGATGATCTGTTATGTTTTAGTTGTGATGTGTGTGTTTAATTAATATTTTTCATTATTGAAAGAACAATTGTGCAATATTAATGATAACAGAAAAAAACTGGATAAAGTAATTTAATTTTGTAACAAAATATTTAATATTCGGCCAGCATTTAATTTCATTTTTCTCTGTGGTTCATTATAGGTTTGTATCTTATGTTTCTCATATAACTTTATTGGTTAAATTTAAATTTTGCATACTATTGTTAATTAAGTATGCAATATTTTTGGTTATTACTAAGAGCTTCCAGTTTGGAACTTGAGGATGACTTCTCAATACGGTTAAAATGTTTGCCAATAGTAAATTAACTCATAATCACACAATGCTAATTTTAATCTTCCACTTTTTAAAGTATTTTTTACCAAATTAGATATCATTGACTTTGTTTTTGTAAAATGCTGTGCCAAGAAAACAGTAAGCTTTATCATGGAAAGTTGTTCTTTGCCAAAATTATGTATTGTCTAAAGAGCAGGTGGAAAAAATATATTGATAGAAATCATAGATGCACGGGATTGACCCTCCGAAATAACAGTTAAGACAAGATAAAATGCTTTAATGGTGCAGGCTAGCTTACAAAAAAGGATACTCAAAAGTGCTAGTCTTTTTGTGATGATGCTAAATCGAGTCGGTGGCACCTGCTCGAGACGCAAACAATGACAAAACCACTATAATTAAATATGTCCAGCAAAAGTAAGAAACCAAGCATTGACATTTGAAAAATGACAAGTGTGCAATTTACCAAAAACTTCCTGTATCTGGATGACAGAAAATTGCATCAGTTGGTAGCAAAGGTGCTAATGTAAATTTGTTTTTATAATTGTAGAAGCAATTTAGTTAAATACAAAGCTTTTTAAAATTCAGGTACATTAGATTATTGCAATAAGATCAGTATAGTTTAATGCTGCTTACTTTCTACATATCAGCAAATCGTTTTATCGTTTGGATAGTTTTCATTCTCTCGTTACGAATTTCAGTTTCCTTCAGAGTCTAAAATTTAATCATGTTCGTCCATATGATTTCGTTTGATAGCAGGATTTGACAGAATTTATCCCAAATTCTATGAATGCAAACTGCTGTTATTTTTTTTAGTGAAATTGTTAAATAAGTCCAAACATTAATTACTGAAGTCCGTGTTAAAGATAATCCTTTTTCTTAACATAAAATTAAAGTGTAGTTAAATTATTATACAAATATTAAGCAATAGCTGATATACTCTAATAGTAATATTGAATAATTTTTTGTCATTATTTTTCTGTTTCTACACACTGAAATGATGTAATTTGTAAACTGTTTATAATATATATACAGTGTATTTGCTTAATTAAAGATATCATAGGTTGTAAAATCGACATTAACAGATTTATATCTAGTTGTAAAATTTTTGCATCTGTATCAATAAAAAAAAAACTAGAAATTTAGTATTGATAATATATGTTTGTTCCTTGTCACTTATGCTTTGTTTTGCAATCCAAATCTACATAATAAGATTAAAATATTTTATTGTAATCATTTTGTAATGTTTGAAAATTTTTTTACCTATTCTTGATGTTTCTTTTAGTAATGTAATGAAAAAAAGCAAATCAGCTCAGATTCTGTTAAAGCATTGTTCCCCACACTTTTTGAAGTATTGACCCCTTGGGCTAGTGTGGCATATTTCTTCTTTTTTCCTTCTTATCTAAACTAATTTTTTGTTCCCTTACTTTCCAGTACCATTTTAAGTCTTCTACTACTGTTCTTGAGGGGGCAGTAGTGTCTACTTTAGAAAAAACTGTGCTACAGTATGCTTTTATGTAAATTTTAATCAAATTATTATCAATGGATGTGCATTACTTTAGTCATACTGTTTGATTTTCTGTTATGTTTGTGAAGAGATGATGTAATTAGCAAGATGCACTCATTTTCAGAGCTATTAGAAATCAATAAATTCAATGTATCATGCAATATATGGAGTGAGTCAGAATTATATACATTAACTTTAATAATCCGTAATCTGTGAATCAGCTAATAAATTTAAATATTTGTGTTATTAAAATTTAAATTACATATTTAGATGAATAAACAGTTGGAATATGTTTGCATTGTTTGGTATTGTCTTTACTCATGCTTGCCTACTATGACTTTCTGCATTATTTGGAATCTCTTTTCTGACATCAGAATTTAATTGTTGCTTTAGATTTAAGTTGATCCAAGAACAGAAATGAGACAAACTTCACAAAAGTTGTAAATTACAGGTTGTTAAAGCATGTATATAATAATTTTGATCTTCGTTACAGTTGGCTATACTTAAAACTCAAATTTATGATGGAATGTTCAGAAATTTAAAAACTTACTTAGAAACAACTTTATATTTTAATAAAATTCATGGAATTATTTTTTTTTCAAAAAACAAAACAACATCAATACAGGATGTTATCCTTAAATGTCCCTAGTTTTAAACTGTTCCATAAAACCCATTTGTTCAGATATGTGAATAAAATATGTTGCAGAATGCCAGTCAATACTCCGCATTTCATGTGCATATATTTGAAAGGATCTCTGACACGAGACCCCACATACAAGAACTGTGGATGCCATTAACAGCTTGACTGCTAATGTGCTGTCTTGGATGTGGGCTAAAATCAAGTAAAGACCCAATATATGTTGGAAGCATATGTGGAATCCACTGACTTAATATAGTAAGTAACTAGCATTTCTTTCCCCAAAATTAATCCACAAACCTAGCGACTTTTGGGTGGAACACCGCATATATAAAATATACAGAAAGTGGCACTTTCAATAACTGGAATACTTCTCAAATTATCTTCAGAAAGTTTTTAGTTATGAACACCAGATTCATGTTCCTTTGTAATCAGAAACAGACATGTAATTCAGATGTTTTTAACTTAAAACTTTTGGAGGTTACAATGCCGTCTTCTCACCCTGTTGTTTTGGGTCACAGAACAAAAATAATTGATTGTCCAGTTCTACAATTTCAAACATTATGATGATATAAAACATACAGTTCTACAATTCCAAACATTATGATGATATAAAATTTGTGTTGCAAAACTGTTAATCCTTGCTGTATATAATAAACAAAAATGCCACTAACTACAAACAAGTTCTGTAGATTTACTTGAATTTATAACTATTTTGCATATTAAACTATTGATATTTACAAAAGAAAAGAATATTGTCTGTTGTAATAATTTGCCACTTAGAAGACCTTTTATATCCCAAAGATTTACACAAATTCTGTTTACATAATTATGAATTAAATATACGAAAGTAGTAATTTTATTAGTTTCAAATCTGTGCTACGTTTATGTATATTTTCAGTTTTGTTTTTTTTATTTCCAATAATAGAATGTACCAAGTCACCGAACAAAGACGACAATTTTTTTTACTAAGCAAATATATGTGCATGCTTCTTTTGATATGTAGTGATGAATTATTAATGTTTTCATTTCATTTAAAGAGTTCTTTGGAAAATCTTGACAAGACGCAAGAATTTATTAACAGTTACTGGAAATTTACAATCAAATTTTAAAGTGGGATAACTGCATCATTTTCGTATCATTAAGGATCTTATTCTTGGCACACAAAAACTATATATATATATATATAAAATACTGTATATTGATTGCATGTATCTCTGTTACTTGCTGCTGAAAATGTTAAAGGTCTTTTGAATCCATAATTTATTTCATTGTTGTAAAAAAGTACATAACTCAGATGTCTTTTATATATTAATTCTATAATCTTTTACTGATAATATGGTACTACTCTACAGAGAAGATTGTGGAAAATAGTTCTTGTTTCAGTTGTGAAA